AAAGCGCCGGGGATCATCAGGGATCATGCAAAAGCTCGAAAATGCGGTTTGTACAGATTCTCGCTCCTGTTCAACATGTTCATAGTGAAGGATAGTAGGAATACTTACGGATAGGTACACATTGTGAAATCCAGGTATCTGGAGTTTCGAAATATAAAGTTTTCTTTTAAGCTGCGATCCCCCCGCGGGGATGTTAGTGCATGCGGCCCTTAGATGGCTCGTCCTCGCTCGTTGTGCGGGTCTCAATTCTTAACCATTGGTTACGGTTTTGTGCAATCCTCATCCACACTCCGCGGTTGGATTACCGCATGATCCTAAATCAGACTCCACTTGCTAACGCAGCGGATTTAAACAGATTCCAAGTCGATACTGTCTGAGCTTACAAGGGAAGCGTCTCTAGTCGAAGTGCCCTTTCCACATGGCACCTGGCATCATTTTGTAGAGCACTGAACGGTGATTCCAAATCCGTCTTCCATATCTGCCAAACCGAGTTATGGGCGTTTTTTAAGTCGAACAATTGAATGCACAACTGGAACCAAATCATCCAAGACTGCTCAAATTTTCAGGTGTTCATTATCACAGCACTTCATTCAATGAAAACCTTCTGTCTAATACCCTAACACCAACAGTGCTCTATTTGAGCGTATGAAATATCGTAATTACTGTTTTTACATAGATTCTGTGTAGATTTTTTGCCTCAAGAAAACACTTAAGGCAAGGGACATACCTCACGCGATTTCAGTCGCCACGCGATCTGGTAATTTGCCAGATGTTTTCAAATTCAAACTGGTATAGGGGCCTGCAGGATCGCGAGAGTCGGACGTGCGTACGGCCATTGCGCCGCGCACGTCCGATGTCACTAAGGCAAGTGCCAGACTTATCCACTTCAGCCGTTCGTTCCGTTCATAGGTCAAATCACTACACTGTCCAACAGCAAAGGTGGTGAACCGAATGAACCTGTTCAACAGGATAAGTCTGGCACTTACCTGGGCCGTCGCACGCAGTTCTGACGTGCGCGGCGCAATGGCCGTACGCACGTCCGACTCTCGCGATCCTGCAGGCCCCTATAGACCCCAAATGTACAGCATGTATAACTTTCGTAGGCTGATAAAATGCCCCATCGTACATTCGGAAACTGTACGATGAGTTATGAACGTTTGGAGTATTGCCAAATCGCGTCGCGACTGAAATCGCGTGAGGTATGTCCGAGGCCTAACTGGGCGCTCAGGCGCGCTTGGCAGAAAGTGGAAACAAATTTGGAATCAGCGTTTAATGCTCTTTAAAGTGGTATAGGAATCATTTGGAAAGGCTACTTCGAATAAAGACGCTTCCTTTGTTAGTTATTTTCAAGAGCTTCCTTTCGAGTGGTCTACGTGCTGTTCGTAATGCCTTCGCAGTTGCTGCGGTATAAATTCAGATTTCGTCGTCGTCACAGCGGGAAGAAATTCGGTTCTTATTATTAGAAAAAATGGGCGCGTAGTTCCGGGTCAGCAATGTTGTCTGCGGCCCCTCTCCCAAAAAACCGAATTCTGCCACGCTGTTCTCTGTCTTCGGCCAAGTTCGTCTTTTATGCTTGTTTGAGGTAAACGTAAGAGAAAGTCTCTTCTACCGAAAGTCCATCCATGATTAGCTGATTCTTCACTGCCCCAAGTGTTCTTCATAAAACTGTTTTTTCCATTTTCCATTTTTATCCTGAACCTTATCCATTTCTGCTTTCGTTCTCGTTTAGCATCTTTCCGGTTTCGCTGGTAGTGTCTAGAAGAGGACCAGATTGACCGGATTATGACCAGCTTCTCCGAAGTAGACGTCTCTGGAATAGAGCTCACTAGAACAAGTAATTCTAAACTTGTCTCCAAGTAAAGGATCAGCTAGATATAGTCACCATACTAGAAAGCAAGTCCCACTGCTTTAGGAAATCCTTCTATTTTAAATAAGGACCGCTGAAAGAGCGATTGTGATAGGTTATAAAGATGAGGCAAATGTACAGCGTACTTGTAAATTTTTCTTTCCGCATTCCCCTTCGTGCAAAGTCCACGTTTTCTTCGTCAGTGTTGTCTGATAATGGTGAAGTGCCTTCCAGCCAACTTCTTCCATAATCTTTTTGAGAAAGAGACGACCTCCATTGAAAACGTGAGACAGGCTGCTCCTGAAGGCTCCATGGTTATGCCAGGGGACCTCTTCGATAGAAGCTCACTGTAAGGCGCAAGACAAACCTATATAAATACATCAAATCGAACAGCCTTGGCTTCCACTTTTCTTCAGTTTTGAAGTGACTAGCATTCGCTATCGATACATTCCTTCTGACGTATTGTTAGCATTACTCATGCGCTGCAGCTCATTTGAAGTTACAAATGTAACTGGAATTGGGATGCAAGAATTAAGATTATCCATATGACCAGAAAAACCCTATGACCTGAACTTTGTCTGTAGGAATAAATTTGATTGTGCATATTTATGTTACGGCAACCATTTATATGTGAAAAGATTAGATTGAAGGCGGTCACATGATCGAAGGCGTACATTAAAGCTAATGACATTCACTGTTCAATACATGCTCCAAATACCTTTTTGCTTCTTTCTTTCGTAATCTTTTTGACACTTTCAAAAAACCACGTGCCGTACATCTGGCTTCTGTTTGAAATTTCAAATTGCTTTTATTTTTAGAATTGCCAACGCCGCTATCCTAGCATGCCTCGACACGTTTTCCTTATCTTTTGGTATATATTCACGTTTTCCCACTATTAGCATTGACACCGATGACATATTTACAATAATAATCTCTCTCTCCCTCTTCTAGTCTCATGTAATGCAACAACATACTTAGCACGGACTAGCTTTTTATTTGTGCTCATGCTCATGCAGATTTCGCTTACATACCAAAGGAAATTCAGATCAGTTTCTTTGGTATTTCCAACCTTTTCAGGCCTGAACATATACAAAGCTAATACTCAATTCTCACTATATAATTCATCTGACTGCATTCTCAACAAATGTATCCGCAATACAGGGTTAATCAAAACATGTGAAAAGCTGTCTTAGTATTTCCCTCTCGTATTTCTTGTAAAATGTCTGGCAAAATTTATTTTAACTCATACAGACTACTTAAAATTTGGCGATCTACTTTCATTGTCAGTTTCCTCCTTTTCATTGCGGTATTGTTTATAATAACTGATGCCATTTAATAGCACCCTTATCGCGTTGCCAAAAACGCCCAAAAACTCCGAACGCAACCATTTGTTGAAATTTTGCCGTTGGGAAGGAACCTCTCAAAAAAGGTAGCATCTCGACAGCGTTCACATAAGAATATCGGCTTTTTTAAGGACAGCCATCAAAGATGCAATACTCCTAGGAGTAAAATAAGAAGACACTCGCGTTATAAATTGCTTACAGGGCGTGTATTCAAAGTTTCCTCGAATATAATCATACAATTAGAGCATTGCAGGTGTCTTCTGGACGTCGCTGAGCTATGAGCAATTTTTATTGAATTAATCACACATAGAATAAAATTATTGAAATCCCTTTGATCATTTTGTAGAATGACTGGTAAAGATGGCAACATTCTACCAAATTCAATTTTAATTCTATCTGCGATGTATTATAGAAAAAAAGACATAAGAACACCCTGTAATTGCATAAAAGATCATTTAGCTGTGAGGTGCGTTCTGATGATAAGTTTTTTAAGACTAATTAGACATGCACTAATAATCTGCTACTCGTCGTCAAATCGCGCAGAACAAAACGAGGTGTACTCACGAAATGCCTGCGTGACTTCGATGCCAGTCTTGATCACTTCCTTTGGTGAATTTGCTACCTGCGGTCACGACGTGTGTTTGAAAAATAATGATTACTCCACAGTAATGATCACAGACCGCCGCTGCAAAGCATCCTTGCCTTTGAAATATTGAAAGTTTTCTTGCGCGATTCGTCAGACATTCGTAGGCAACCTCAGGTAGATGTCTGATATGGAGTGCGCGTGAGCAGATTAGGAGGCCAAAGTAATTTAGATTTTGGCTTTCAAACAATTTTGCGGGATCAAACATTTTGCGGACGTTTGAAAGTTATCTCACAGATCTTTCTTTGATCTATAGTAATCTGATCTCAAAATTTGAATGCATTTCGCGGGTCTGCTTACGATTAGTTGAAAAGAGTTCTAATTGTAAGAAAACGCGATAAGAGTGAACAAAAAAGAGCGCTCACCTCTAACGTACAACGGAAACAGAGCTAATAAGTGAAGCTGCGACTTTGAAAAATTCCTACTTATCCGAAATGTTGAACCGTTGACGAATGCTAAGACAAGTGATAAGTTGCCTGCTTAACAGTGAAGCTCTTCGCTAATGTAATTCGCTCGGATAGTTGTATTGGCATGATAATCAGGCATAAGCTTATTCCACCTGTGGGCCTCCAGAATTCCATCTATATCGCGAACAACTAAATTATAGTATGTGTCTTAATCAGTTCAGTAGGCACATGATCAGCTGAATAGAAAGAAAGATGATAAAACAACCTGCAATTTGCTTCAATATTGCTATCACGCGCGCGCTGCGGTTTCTTAATGTGAAGATATTAGCAAGAGAATCTATACTGTGATGAGTTTATTTATAGATTAAGTGTCTACAAGCAACGAACTTTGATTGTAATTAGTACTCCAAAAAGATTCCAAAAGCCTTCTCGAAGTGTTAAAGAGAGAACCTTGAACAACGTTGCCTCGCTACTCTCGAATTTGGTCTGATAAAGCATCCACGGATGCTTTGCAATAATTATCCAAACAAACGAAACTTCCGCATACTGCCTAGGTTCCACCCAATATCGATTCGCTGATTCACGATTGCAACATGACTGCGATATTTTTTATCCGTTTCACTCTCGAATTGTTGCCTGCACGTGAAATAACATAGCACATTCCTCTCTCGGTAACACTGTAAAAATAATTTCGTGATCCTTTTTTATGAGCCATGATGCAAACTCCTAGGACTTCGAACCTTAACTTATCCGTCAATGTCTTTGCATTTGATTGGTTGATTGCAGAAACAATTATTTTTCATATCCTAATCGACATAAAAACTGTGCGCATCATTCTCCCGGCACTTCCTGAACCTTCCGCAACTGCATTACGCCTGACATCATGAATAATTTCAGTAAAACCCGTGAGTTTTTCTTGATTTTACGTTAATATTTTGACAAGTTGTTTACACAAGTGATATTCACCTGATTCTCGTAGTGCTTCGGTTCGTGGCCACATCCAACTCTCCATCTTCACTCCTACTTTTTCCAAGCGGATCAGTCGTCCCCAAGCACGCCTATTGTTTCACTTGATTAATTGCCTGCCACGAGCAATACATACATCCCCGCTTGAACTATGGCTTTTAGGACTCTTCGATCGATTTTAACATAAGAAGAAAAACGTGCTTACTTGATACAAGGCAATTACCAAGCACTTCTTTGAAACTGAAGAGATATTCTCAAGTCACTGGCGATAGCAAAGCCGCCTTCCTTCGAGCTCTGAACACTCCACCTGAACTTACATCAGTATCCGGTAAAGTTAGGGACACCCCATAGCATACGTGCGAAAACGAGAAGCGAAAGATATGCGATCGAGAAACTTATAAACCTACGGTCTGATGGCAGAGTAAGGTCATCTTGCTGTTTTCTTCTTCAGTGGCAGAGTGCATGCGGCCATTAGTTCATGATCCCGCAGCGACTCTGAGTGTTGGCCTTGGCATTCGTCCATATTCAAAAAAGAACTTTGGAAAGATCTGTTCTCGCCGTTTTCGAGCTTTCGAAGTGGTCGAATTAACACAAAATAAAGACCACAGCTGATGATAAGGTCGAAAAAGTCGTTTGGGGGGTGATTAATTTAGCGAGCACGAAAGAGAATAGTACAGAAACAGGATCAGTAAAAAGTGAGAGAGAGAGAAAAAAGCAGTGTCGAGTGATTTTGAATTTGCTTATCTTTATCACAGTTGTTTCTACGAGAGGTTGAAAAAACGCAAACAACATTCGAAATAAACTAATACCTTCCTACATACTCTAAAATCAATTGCACTCTTTATGAGAATACATGTTAAAATGTTGTAATTTCACCCTTAGGCCCGTATGCACGTACATCCCCGCTGGGGAGGGGAGGGGAGCTGGATCCCCAGGGGAGCTATCCCCTCCACTGAACCCCGCTATGACAGAGGGAAAGGGAGCAATCTCCTCCCCTGCACCTACAGCGGGGATGGTGTGATTGCGGTAACCGCTTCTACCTCACGGCTACTACAAAACCTCGTCAAAAAATTATTTTGGTCAAATCTTGTACACCAGAATGGCTTTTGGAGCAAAGTGTACAAGAATACTGACCACGCGTGCTCTTTCCTCTTTCTTACTCTTCTCCAACCATCCCTCCCATTGTATCTCTCTCCTTCGTTCTCTTTTTCTTTTTTCACATTACTGGTTCTAAAGTTATGTGTCGTTAGTAGCAATAATGTTGATTTTTGAAGTGATGTGACTCGGTTTAGCAGTTTAGGTTATGATTCGCAATCATGTTATGTGCTTCTCCTACAAAAGAATTTGTGAGTGTGCAGCTTTTTGCAGTTTCTGTGGTTTTTTCCAGCATTTACCAGTTATACCTTTGCGGTACTCTTTCGCTGCCTCAAATTCGGTATTATTCAGAGGTATCGATCGGACGAACCCCAGTGGGGATCCCTTCCCTTCCCCTCCCCGTATGCACAAATGTTGCTCGATAACGCGAAGGAGGGGATCAACACCCCCTACGACGGAGTAGGGGTTCGATGGTGTAGATCATGCCAGAAAAGCGAATATTCTGGCTTCATTCGGTTGTTACAAAGCATTTCGCTCAATTCGATGAAAGATTTTCTTCGAAAACCGGGTTCCTCTTTCAGCGATCTGCAGCTTGCAATCTTGTCTCTCTCTTCTATATTCGCTGCCAATTTCGAATATTTATAGAAGTCTTGATCATTCACGAAATTCGCGCATTTTCCATATGATATGATAATTACAGCCAAATAGGCTGGTTAAACAAATTGTAACTATCATATTATATGATATGTTGTTTTTATCTTGTTACCTTAACATAAGCTGCCTCGAAAAATCTAGAAAGTAGCAGATTTGCCTATCTGAGTAAATCCCGGGGGAATGATCCCCTCCTCAGCGTTCCCCTCGTGCATAGGAGGGATGGCCGCCGGGGATCATTCCCTTGAGGGGAATGGACAGTATTTTGCTGATAGCTACAGCCTCATGAAGAGCTGGCACAATTTGCAGTTTCTGCTATGTGTAGAAATGCTGGTTTGGTTGTCCGCGACACCGCCCCTTCCCCATTTTTTTCGGCAGCATAAAGGCAGTGTCCGTGCAAAAAGTCGATTCTGAGATTTTGTGCTTACCCGGGCCTATTCGCCATGCTGAATCCGAAAACCCACACTGGAAAGCACGAAAACGACGAAAAAGGCTCTAGCGTGGGAGTAAAATCAAAAGGGGGCGGGGTCTTCCCCACTGTGACTTCACGGTCCCAGTTTCCGGAGCGATCTTCTCGCTTCCGATTTCAGATCATGCATACGCACTTGGTCTGTAGAGATGTCAGGACGGTTAGCGGAATTAAAAAGATCGCTCCGGAAGCTGGGACCGTGATTTCACCGTGGGGAAGACCCCGCCCCCTTTTGATTTTACTCCTACGCTAGAGCTCTTTTTCGCCGTTTTCGCGTTTTCCAATGTGGATTTTCGGATTCAGCATGGCGAATAGGCCCGGGTAAGCACAAAATCTCAGAATCGACTTTTTGCCCGGACACTGCCTATAACGTCTTCTACACATTCACTGCAGAGACCTCTTGACTTCTATTGAACACCATTACGCTGAAATGGGCAGCATGGGCGAAAATGAGCAGCATCCCTGAGACGGCAGGAATATAATGGCCTTAGGAAATATTACTTTCAGTGCGCCGACCGCAATCCCGGCAGACTGCATTCCGCAACGACTAAAGTATTGCCGAACACATTGAAGGCGAGTAGCTATGAAAAGAAGGGAAAAGAGGAATAATTACCGCAAAAAAGCGGAAGCAAAATAATTTCCCCGCTCGATCTCCCCTTCTGCATGAGGGGTGTTCCCCTCCCCTACTCCGAGGGGATCCCTTCTTTGGTATTGTCCTTGTGCATACGGGGGTTTGCGTGGGGAAGAGAGGGGAGCCCCAGCGGGAATCATTTCAATGGTTAAACGCACATCCCCTCCCCGCAAGGATGCACGTGCATACGGGCCTTAGTTTCATCTCCCGCTTGCTCGCATTCTCTTGTAGCGGTCATCATCATTTTCCATGATGGTTAATATCAAAGATAGATAGCCAGGCCAGGTAGCAAAGATGTTGCCGTTGGTTGGTTTCAAACCACGGCCGTGCCAGTTGACTAGGCAAAGGCAAATTGTCAACTTACCGTATATATAGCTACCGCTACTCTCGTACGCTTTCGAGAAACATGGTTATTCTTAAAATTGGTGCATAATATCAGGTTGAACCGAAAGTTTGTTTGCACCATTTTCAAAAATTCATAACTTCTGCTTTTTCCAACTGATTTGCGTTTTTTCATTTATGTCTGAAAGATCAAATCTTTCTCTTCATAGACGTATCTTAGAGGCATTCCAATGAGCATACACTGCATAGATGTAAGCATTTGGAGAAATTACTCAAATCTTGAATTCTCTGTGTAGCGTCATAAAAAACCTGCAGTAAAAATCGGAGCAATCAGTATTATAGGTTCTTTCACCAGCTCTTTCCAACTGTTCCAAGTTTGCGCTGATTGAGCGTTTCTATGAAAAGTTATAATTTTCCTGAATGCCAAAATAAATCAAATTCGCCCTTTTGTATTTATTGCCTGCTCGAAAATCATAACTTTTCATAAAGACGCTCAACCATCGCAAACTTTGCATAGTTAGAAAAAGCTGGTGAAAGAACCTATAATACTGACTACTCTGTTTTTTACTGCAGGTTTCAAATTTTATTTTTTATGACCCTACAGAGAAAATTCAAAATTTGAGTAATTTCTTCTAATGCTTACATCTATGCAGTGTATGCTCATCGGAATGCCTCTAAAACACGTCTATAAAGAGAAAGACTTGGTCTTTCAGATAAAAATGAAAACACGCAAGTCGGTTGAAAAAAGCAGAAGTTAAGAATTTTTGAAAATGGTGCGAACAAACTTTCGGTTCAACCTAATAAAACCCTCAGACTGAGATCCCACAACGGAAGCTATTTTAACGAAATTCAAGCTCTTAACTTGTCATGTGAGTCACATTGTCGTTAACGTGTTGATGAGATAATGCAGAAACAAGTTACGCTTTACCTTTCGATGTTCATTTGCTAGTTTACCACTGCGGGATAGAAGCGCCCATAAGGGCCGTCAATGAAAGAATAAAGACCACTTACCGAATCTGTATGGCACGGAAGTACCGAAGACATAATATCCCATAATATTGACTCAGCTTCTAGTTATGAGGGGTGTAAGCAAACATACTGCGGCTCAAACCAATGGAGCGCCTTCCAAGCATGCGGTTCCAGAAATCAAAAAAGGTACCAGGCTCCTCTTCCAAGTCTAAAGTTCAAAACATGGGCAAGATCGAAACTCATAGGTGCGATGTCAAGAATGTTGGAAAACTTTTTTACTGATTTCCTTACTCAATTATCAGGCGCAAAGTTGCGTCAATTCACGAAAAATTTTTAGTCGAGATTTGCATCATTATTCACAAAACAACAAATTCTTTGTGCTATTCACTCTAAAGAATTTTATTCTGTTGTTTAAGTGGTACTGGTGACGGGCGCATCGGGTTATGTTGGCTCACACTGTGTCAAAATGCTTTTAAATGAAGGCTATCGAGTTCGCGGAACTGTCCGAAGCTTGAAGAACGAGAAAAAGGCAGGTTCTTCTCCAGCCTTAGTCTGTCATTGTAAATTTTTTAAATTACACTCTTAGAAGCAGAAGAGTGTGTAGTATAATGCTGCACTGTTTCGTGCAGAAACCAAACCAGTTGAAAACGAAATCTCTTTGAAGCGAAATCTTTCGTAAGACCTATCAGGTTGTTTCACACTTATACAGGCTTTGGAATGGCCTAGAATTTCCTAGAATTCTTTTGAGACTGACATTATGCGCTAAAGCCATATTCTTGCATTTTGAGGCGACGACATCGAGTGCTGCCTATCTTGAAACTTACTCTATACAAACTAAACTTCTATTTAGTTCACCCCTTATAAGCCAAATAGGTGTTGAAAAAAGGAAACCTAAATCCGTAAAGAAACTAAAAAATACAATTTTAATTTTGAAAACGTTTGATTTGCGAGTTAGAGTCTGTACACCATTTGTTGATCACGATAATGGTGTCATAAGTTGGCCTTTTTTAGTTTAACATTACAGGTAAAGCCAGTTCTTCAGCTACAGCAAGATGATCGTTTGGAGCTGGTAGAGGCGGATTTGTTGAAGCCAGACACATGGGCAAGGTAGAGTAACCAATTTAACGCGTAGATGTACACTATATATTATTTGAATGCTTTTTGCTAGTCCTTAGCTTTGTTCTCTTTACCTATTTGGCATTTTCTGATGAAGATGGAATTGTTAATCGCCTAAGGGATAAACAAATTACTTCCACCTGCAGACAAGCCTGCAGCTGGAAGTGATTTTCTGCACCGTACCAGATGGATTGTCTGCACTGAAGCCAGACGCTCGACACTCAAAAACAGGCTGAACTTTGCTCAGTAGAGCAAAAAAGAAAAATAAATGTCGTAGAGCTTGTCGTACTACTTCAGCGGCCTTCTTGGACAACACTCTCTTGCCAAGTGCTAGTTGGTATGCAATCATAACTCAATGTGTACTCTTACAAGTGCCCAAAATCTAAATGCAAAGCTAAAAGAGTGAGTCAGAGTTAGCGCAGAGTCAATCACATGTCGGTCAACCTATTTGGACGTATGTATACTACTATACAATACTTTCTTGAAAATTCATGCTAAACCACTTAGAAACGCATGTAACGCAATAGCTTTTCTCAGACTGGTCTTCTTCTTCCATGACTCAATTTGTTTCCTTTTCAAATTGTTAAAATTTTTTGCGGTACTCACAAACCACTGGGACTAAACTACCCAAAAATTTTTACGGGCCTTTCGACAGTCTTACGCCAAAGATATGCAAGGCCAGTAAAAGTTAGTATGCTGTTGTAGACACAGATCAATACAGCAATCTGTTTTTTTACCCTCAATTTTTTCCCGTAATTACTATAATATTACTATTAAGTGCGGTTTCTGGCTGTCACTACATTCTACACGTCGCGTCACCTTTTCCACTAGCGGCGGATGAGAGCTGCGTTGATATTGCCGTCAATGGGACTTTGAATGTTCTCAGAGCTGCTTCGAAGGAACCATCAGTGAAGAAAGTTGTGCTTACTAGCAGCTGCGTAGCTGTCAACGGTTGGTCAAGCCAAAGCTTTTCACATTGTTTCTATCTTTTCCCTATTTATTTTCCTATCTAGTAGAATATTCGAAATTTCCTGCCAATGGAGTTCGAGAGGAGAAGTTTTTGACATATCAAGCTAGGAGAGAAATGCTTGGTCACTTACGAGAAGTCAGCTTTGAGAGAGCGAAGGAATGGGCATTGTGGAAGTTAAGGAAGTCACCTTGAACACTTCTCGCCATAAAAACGTTAGGAGGACGGACCAGGGTCAAGCAAGGGGTGTGGCACACGATCGATGGTTACGAACTTCCCCCCCCCCCTGGCTGTCTTAATAAGACCCCCCTGAACTATACACTTAAGATAGGCATTACTTGAAGGCCCTGTCAAACATAATGGGCAACATATCCATAATTAGCATGTCAAATAACCCCTGTAGACAAAGTGTGAGCGAATTCTGAAGATGCAAGATACTAGGCTACCTAAGCGAAATGGTCAAATTCCAACATGTTTAACTTTGTTTCAAAGGTGAATTAGCTATCCGTTTTTGCAGTCAAGACAAGGCACTACTCCTTCTCTGTCCACCTCAGGAATCCCGCTTCAGAAGACCTCCAAACTGTGGAATTAGAAGCCAACCAAAATCTCGTTTTTCCCATTTTTCGCTTTTGATCGCTGTGCTTTCACCAAATATTACTTAGAGCTAAGAAGACGATTCAGGCTCCAAATAGTCCTATGGAATCTGCAAGGTTTAGGCTATCGATTCATATAAATATGGTCCGCTACAGTTCAATTTTGGAAAAGAGTTAAGCACCGTAGCCGCGAACTCTTGAAAGAAAGCTCTGTGTAATATATTGACGAGGGAATTTTGTAGAGAGAGAAAGATAAGTGTAACACTACGATTAAAAAATCTTGCATGATAAGATTTCGGTACTCCGGAATGAAAAGTTGGGGGAATGGCAGCTACAAGCATTTTGAATCAGTTCAACTTCAAGAAGAAAATAAAAAGGCACCATGTCTGCAAAATTCTTAATAGAAGGGAACTCAAGGTGTAATGATGAAGCATATCTGTTAAAGAGAACTATATATATTCGTATCAGAAAATGGAGAAGAAATAGGACAGCCGTTGACAAAAGCTGAAGAGGCTTTGACTACAGAAGCTTTGCAAAGAGAGAGAGTGAGCACCCTAGAGACACAGCTCATGTAGCGGACAGGATTGGAGAAGAAAACTATGATTAAGCTGGACGTAAGCTTTGGGGATATGATTGATCTGAGTATGAACATTGATACTTTGGCATCTGGCAGCTTTGAGAGTGTGGGTTTTGAGAGTGTGAAAACAGATGAGAAAGAGTGTTCAAATGATATTGAGACACTGAAAGTTCAGGAGGCTAAGGGCATCCTAGTAAAATCTTTTAGAAAAAGGAGTTTGGAATTTTTCGCATTGGAAGTCAGTTAGTGAATGTGTGGAAAAGCTGTTTGCACTTTGAATGGAAGAGCCATGGGGAAAAGATTGACTCAGGCATAAGAAAGTTGTGGGAGTACGTAGTTTATATATAAAGTTTGGCTGGCACTTCGACGCGTTCGCGAACGTATTTCGAAGCGCCACTGATGCCTAGAGATGCGGTATTCCCTATGCCTCAAGCATGGAAAAATACCCTATCAGCGGAGGGCGAACGCGGCGAAAGCCCCATATAAACGTGCGTCGAAACACTGGCAAAGGGAGCAGTGCTGCGCTCCCCTGCGTGCGCAGGTTAACAAGTAGAATATGAGGGTAGATGACATATCCTTTGTAGTCAGTCTTTTCACAACAGCACCTCCGAATAGGAACGATTATGTAATATACTGTCCGCATCGTGTGCAATGTATATTCCAGAAGGTCATCCGCAGGACAAAGTGTTTGATGAAACTTCATGGACAGATGTGACCAGCCCCAAAGTGGAGTATTACGCCAAAAGTAAAACGTTAGCAGAAAAGGCTGCCTGGGACTTTGTAAAGGATATAAAGGAGGGAAACAAGTGAGTTTGCGAAGCTTTTTGTCGATCAGATGTAAAGCGCTGGCACCCTTGTCATAAAGACTACAATATGCTGTGCATCTTCTACGTCAACCTTACAGTTGACGCCGATCTTCATGTTCTCGCAAGTATCACTCAAAACTCAAGTTCGCTGACTACTTCATCCCTTCCCAAACAAAACAACCGCATAATACCCTATTGTCATAGTACAAAACGCACTTACTTCTTCCCTAAACTCGACTAGCCTAAACACACCAAAAAGTTTCGGGACCCAAGGACCAAGCTGCTCCTTAAAGGCAGTGTCCGGGCAAGATGGGGGTTTTGAGATTTCTCTGCCATGTGAGACTGGCCCCCCTGAGACACAACATCGCGCAACTGCGAGCATAAAACGTTCGACCTAAAGCAAGAAAAACAATTGCAAAGTGGGGAAACTTACGCCTCGGGGCGGGGTCCTCCGAGCTGTTTGAATTCCTGCCAGACGGCAGAGTACGTATGCCGCCACAGTTAAAAACCGTGCGCTCTTTGCAACTCTGCGTCTTAGCCTGGCGGGGATCCTCAAATTTCGAAATGTAAGGGCTTGGAAAATGCATGTTCTCGCCGTTTTCGTGCTTTCTGATATGGATTTTCGGATTCAGCTTTGCGGATAACCCCAGATAAGTTGATTTTTTAAAAGTCGAGTTTCTGCCCGGACACTGCCTTTAACTAGAAGAACTGTGTGGTAAAGCGACCATTTCACGAGGCACAATGGTGCGGCCGAGCTGCTTGCTTGAAAATATGAAAAAATTAGTTATGTGCTCGTCAAATTAGGGTACCACTCTTCATACGGCCACCTGAGCAGAAGAAGCGGAGATCGATGAGGTGTCTGAATGCAGACTTTACGAAGTACCCTTTGCTTCAACCAGGTCGGCTGCTGGAAAGCGCGGCTCCATGACCTACGAGGCGACTGCTCGCGTGCGCGACGCAGGCTGCGCCTCCCTCGCGAACATCCTCTCTGATCATTTCCTAGCTTCAATTAGGTCACTGGAGCCCGCCTTCCAGCCGCCGATCTAGTTGAAGCGAAGCGTACGTACATTTTAGTTCAGTACATAGGGGATCCACCAAAGCTTATAGTGGATCTGATAGAGTGCTGTGACTTGCTCCGATATTGCTTTACGACACGCGCAGCATAGTCGCGATAATCGTTTGTCTAATATACGATACGGCCAGACGATAGCCGAGTGACACAGTGGATAGGTTGGCGACGAAGCCATCTCCAAAAATGGAAAGCTTATTCTACTATAATAACGCGCTAAGAGTGTTTACGTGTTTTTGTGTGTCTGTCTGCTGAATGTCTGTCTGTCACGGAATTCGTAGAGCATGTTCCAGCCATCGTCCTGAGCTCTAGTTTTGCATAGCACTTGCTACTGGCATGAAAGTCCAACATGCAAAAGCACAACCAGATTCGTTGAGTGGGTCTCTTAGAAATTGCGCGTCAAACGGACCACTTTGCATTTGGCCCACAAAATGAGGTCCGTAATTCCAATTTTTGCAGAGTGGTGGAAGTTTATGGCAAGTAAATGTGCAAGCATGAATTTAGGCCCAAAAAAGTGATCAAAAGTCCATAACTTTACAAAAACGGAGCCAAAAAGTATTGGTTGCGTAAATGGTCAATTTGTCAAGGTTTCACCAGAGCATTTGACGATATTTTGGCACAAAAATGTAGCTCACGGTATTTACTGTTCTTATGACGACTGTCAAGACCATGGGAAAATCGAAAACCTATAAAAATTTGAGTTTGTTTTCCTGCAAAAAATTTCATCTACGCAAAATGACCGATTTCACAAGAAAAAGCTTTCAGAATGAGTAGTTGTTTACATTTTGCTCCTGATACTCGGCATTGCTTGGTGAGTTTCAATGCCATCATTATGCGAAAATGAGTAGGGCCTAGACAGTAAAGCCAGCACGAGCCTCTGCGAAGCAGAGGTGAAGCACTGGTGTAGTAATAATAGAGTAACAACTACAGCTAGCATCATAACACTAAAATTTGTATCTTCATTCGCAGTCTGCGATACATATCATTAGGTTGGCCTATAAACAAAGTCCGTTTTGTGTGCAACTTTGAAGCTCCATAACAATCTATTTAGCAACTAATCCGCTGAGATTCTTTGTGATTTAAGAGGTAGCCTCAAGTCTTTACTCTTATCTGTCAGACATCTTTAAGACATCAGTTTTGGGCGATCCAAATGGCTTGAACTTGACCATCTATGATCATGTGAATAGTTGGTTAAAATTTTCATAGGTGCGAAATATAGTACAGTGTTTACCAAACCTGTTTCCTCGAGTATGAGTTTTTGAATATTTGATGAAGAAAGTTTAACTGTTCTTTTTTCTTGTGCCCTGAGTAGAAAAAGTAATTTTTGAACAGATGGAGTTGACCATCTAATTCGCATTGATATGTTCTTTCCAACGGTACCACACATTTATGAATACATCAATTTTTGGAATTTCTACAAACCATTAAAAACGACCAACTTATTTTTTAGCCAACCTAATAGAACCCAAGACCATTTATAAGTTTGGCATCTTTCCTCTGAGGTAGCGCCCAGAGGCATCTTGCACGACTTTTAGGACTTTTACGTGAAATTGACTGTGGAATTTTAACTTACAAGGAAGGCGTTCAATCGAAGTGGGCTTTTCATGTAGTTCCTAGACCACTTTGAAGAGCAATAAAAGATGGTTCCAAATTTGTCTTCATTATCTGCTCTAGTTATGAGCGTTTCTGGTTGAAAAATAAATATCCAGCTTAAGCAAAATTCGTCTAGAAGTACTCAAATGATTCAGCGTTAGTTTCCATGTTTCGCTTTCTTTAAACCTGGGCATCGTATGTATTCTTCAAGTGTTCTGAGCCACACAGGTTTTTAGATGGTCTATTATCCAATCATGACCTAACGTTTCGACGCCTTCGTCTTCCTCAGAGGCCTGAAAGTGGTTCAAAACGTCATCCGTGACTCCAAGCCACCAAACACCTCCCCTAGTCCGGCTAGTTCTCAACCTTCGCTCAGCTTTCCTATTATAAAAATGCCAGGACAGAAGATGAGCGTACCGAAAGACCACCGCTATATATGGTATTCCGCACCGGAAATTATGGTCGTGGCGGAAGAATAAACTATACCATAAATGACAACTTAATGTGATCTATAGACCGCTTAGCGATATGAACGGAAGAAATTCAGAGGTTATTGACAAACACTCATTCTTGTTGTTCATTTCTGGCTTCTTTGCAGAGACCCAGAAAGCCTCTAATGCTTTCCTAGCCGAGGTTTTCTTTTTACAAGCTAAGATCCTGCACTTGATAGCAAAGTGTTTTGCATTATGCGCCTCGTTTCTATGCCTGCCTAAAGCTGAAGATAATGTTTTACGCTTTTTATCTGCTAGATGTTCTTTAACACGAGTACTGAGTGCACCTCCAGTCTCCCCAACATAAAGCGCGTTGCAATTCAGACATTCTATTTGATAAACTACTCCCACTTTTGCACAATCACCTAATTTACCATGCGGGCATCCAAACTACACAATGTTCTGTTATACAGTATCGATCGTATAGTCTGTTTCGAACCAATTGCTTTTTGATATTGTCATTCGGAACGTCCACTAACACAATATCATCCTGCAATTGTGCACGTAAAATGCATTTTCGAAGAGCTGCGCTGATACTATCCGATATAAATGGAATGCATAATGGGAGTTTATTATTATCATGAGCGTTGTTACCATTCGCAGGCTGTCAAATACGTGGTAAAGAATGGTATCCATTACTGCAAGCGATATGGGAAGCCAAATCTCGTGACTCGCATCGTTCCTTTTCTCCGGAGCACATCTGCATGGCAGTATCGATCATATACCTGATTACAGCGCGCTTCGCGGATAAGGGATGGGCAGATTTAACATTTAAGAGGATGTTCTTAGAGCTTTTTTTGCGGTACCATTTGAACTCAGTTATGCCGTTGGACAGCCTCACTTGTGCGTTGAGATAGGGCACCCATCCGTCGCGTGGTGTCTCTCGTGTGAGCTTTATGTACTGCGACTGGTTGAAAATCCCGAAACAGTCGCAGTATATAAAGCTCACGCGAGAGACAACACGCGACGGATGGCTGCCCTATCTCAAAGCACAAGTGAGGCTGTCCAACGGCATACCTGAGTTCAAATGGTACCGCAAAGAATGCTCTAAGAACGTCCTTTTGAATGTTAAATCTGCCCATCCTTTATCCGTGAAGCGCGCTGTAATCAGGAATATGTTCGATACTGCTATGAAGATGTGCTCCGGAGAAAAGGAACGATGCGAGTCACGAGACTTGGTTTCTCATATCGCTTGCAGTAATGGATACCATTCTTTACCACGTACTCGACAGCCTGCGAATGGTAACAACGCTCATGATAATAATAAACTCCCACTATGCATTCCATTTATATCGGATAGTGTCAGCGCAGCTCTTCGAAAATGCATTTTACGTGCACAATTGCGGGATGATATTGTATTAGTGGGCGTTCCGAATAACAATATCAGAAAGCAATTGGTTCGAAACAGACTATACGATCGATACTGTATAACAGAACATTGTGTAGTTTGCCCGCATGGTAAATTAGGTGATTGTGCAAAAGTGGAGTAGTTTATCAAATAGAATGTCTGAATTGCAACGCGCTTTATTGGGGAGACTGGAAGAGCACTCAGTACTCGTGTTAAAGAACATCTAGCAGATAAAAAGAGTAAAACATTATCTTCAGCTTTAGGCAGGCATAGAAGCGAGACGCATAATGGAGAAGACTTTGATATCAAGTGCAAGATCTTAGCTTGTGAAAAGGTAACCTCACTAGGAAAGCATTACAGGCTTTCTGAGTCTCTGCAAAGAAGCCAGAAATGAACAAAAAGAATGAGTGTTTGTCAATAACCTCTGACTTTCTTCCGTTCATATCGCTAAGCGGTCTATATATCACATTAAGTTGTCATTTATGGTATTGTTTATTCTTCCACCACGACCATCACATTTCCGGTGCGGAATACCACATATAGCGGTGGTCTTTCGGTACGCTCATCTTCTGTCCTGGCATTTTTATAATAGGAAAGCTGAGCGAAGGTTGAGAACTAGCCGGATGGGGGAGGTGTTTGGTGGCTTGGAGTCACGGATGACGTTTTGAACCACTTTCAGGCCTCTGAGGAAGACAAAGGCGTCGAAACGTTAGGCCGTGATTGGATTATAAAGAGCATCTAAAAAACATGTGTGGCTCAGAACACTTGAAGATTCAGTGTTAATTATCAGAGCTTCATGCGATAGGTAACTTTTGTCTAAAACACTCATACTCAACGCTGCCTTAATCGGACGCTGAAAAGACCGTAACAGTTGATCCAACCCAAATTCTGCGTTCATTTTTTGCTCCACAAACACATAATTTAGCGTCAGAGGCGCTTACGATGCTAGCGAACTAGAACTTTTTTGAAAAGGCCATTTCATAAATGGACCTCCCTGGCTAGATGATATTCGCAAACGGCAATACGAATGATTTATCCAGATGCGACAAATCTATTTAAATCTGTCTACATAACCGTTTTCAGCGGATGACTGGCATCGGCACGCATGCCTTTGCGCGTGGACGCATCAGGACTCAGATAATCGCCGGAGGCGGTCTGCAAACTCGCGCTTTCTTGCAGGCGGTCAGCAGAATTTTGGGGCGTGGCCAAACCTTCAGCGAGCGGTACTTCCTTCACTGTCTAATGTTCAACCAGCAAGCAGCGATACAGCATTTTTTGCAAGCGCTCAGCTAATAATCTCTTTCAGCAAGCGCTGGCCAAACTTTCAGCAAGCGCTGGGTTTCTCTCAGCGGAAAGCACCTGGGGACCGCGCGGTCCTCCACAAAGGACCGTGAGGCTCTCATTAATTTTGCATATTCTCGCGGAGAATGGGCCACCGCGCCGCAGCTAATCTATAAGAAAACCGCAATTGTTCTCCGAGCGTTCGTCTAAAAAGAACCAACATTCTTCCAATAATTGCAATCAGTTCGCAAGAATACAGCGAACTACTCCGGTGCCCGCTTGCCCATAAGTCGCATGGCGTCTGCCTCCGACGATTATCTGAGAAGGGCCGGATGGAAAACAGTGAAAGACGTTGAAAACATGCAAACCGAAGCAAGCCATCTGTTATATATCGTTCTGGGATGCTTGAAAATGCCAGATCTGCCTAAACATCGCCTCAAAACGATTTGTAGATTTGCTCTAACATGCCTGAACCCTACTATGGTCGTTGGTCCCCTGCTCGTCAATGAAGGAGGAGGAAGTGTTACAGTTAGTATGTTACATCTCGCAAATAGAACGTACTGACACCATCCAAAGTTCAGCTTATCCGACGCTTCCTGAATAATGAAATGCCAGCCGTACCTCGCATAAACATTGGTTTCGTTGACGTCTTTGACGTAGCCAAAGCACATGTCGAAGCTATGCGGCGACCAGAGAGCGATGGTGAACGCATTTTGGTAAGAGAATATCAAACTTTGTGAAGCATCTATAAGTAGAGGTTGTTTTAGATTACCTACCAGCCATCCTTTTGGTTCAAAGATATTGTACAAATTCTCGGCAAAGAATTCAAGGAGCAAGGTTAGCGTTGCATGTCAGCTCAGGTAGCTTTGCTAAGGCCTAATGCATACTTCCCGCGAATTCATCAAATTGCTACATCCGCGCGACTTGGCGTTTTGCCAGATGTCTGAAGATCAACCGTGCGTGAGTGCCAGATGCATAGGGTATAGCTTCTGTAAGTTCTCGCGAAAGCCTGTCCCAAGCAAAGTGCGCTTGCGAAAAATTATGGAGTTCACTGCAATGCCATGTCGCGCAGCGACTGGAATTGTGTGAGATATGCACTAAACCTAACGGAGTGTATTTGAGGGCAGGTGCACTGCGTAAGGTTCTCTCTAGTACATATTTGGCACAGCAAAATATATCAAACAAATTTTATGAGTGTGTCAATACGGAAATCACCTTTGATTTCAAGTTACTTGTTGACCTAATTCATGTCTTGGCTCTGACACCACATCTTCCTCCGAAAGACCTTTTGGACACGTCACGTTATCCGTTGCATCTGCGGTATATGTGGGCCCCGCAAACAATCTCTTAAACACACCAGTAGTTGAAGAAGTAGGGCTCAATCGCTTGCTTTGCGAGTTACCTCGACCCCAATGTTACTCTGTGATAAAATGATGGCACGATTAATAATGATGGCATCATATCAGAGCCTTTGGGGCCTTCAGATATTGTGACCAGATCAAAATCATGTCATTAGGTAGTTCTAAAAATTCTGGCATATGTGGTTTCATCTTTGGCGGCTCGGTGAGCCCTAAGCACCAAGATTCACCCGAGATATACCTCTGCGCTCGCCCGCCTATTACATACGATGCAACCTAGCGTAATATTTTAGCTAGTGCGTAACAAATCAGAAAAAAATACTTACACTTTATCCCTATGACACAAAAAGAAACAAAACACTATGCTAAAATACTAAACTACAAATAAAGAAGAAAAAACCCCAACACGGGAGAGGGTGACCCGTCCCGTGCTAGCGATGGTGCGCGTACATTACAACATCTAAACATAACATAATGCTCCCGAGGCTTCACCAATACAGATCCGCCACGCGTCGTCGAATAGCAAGCGCGACAACCTCTCCGCTCCCGAAGCTCATAAGATCTCAATATTCTAAATCCCAGAGGTTCCAAAAGTAGCTCGTCAAAACCCAAATCACATTTCAATTCAATATAACTTTCGATCCGCTCGACCGCTAACGCAAAAGAGACACCAAAGGCGGGAGCTAACTGCCAGGCACGAGCATAATAGAAAACATACGAAAAGATTATCGATCGAACAGAAAGGCGAACAGACGCTGAAATGGGGCGCCGCAGCTATACATAGCGGTTTGGCTGGCAACGCGTTGAAGCAAAGAGTTCCGGAGGCGAATGCGGCAAAATGAGAAAGTACCGTAATTGTCGCCGAATAACGCGGCAGTAACTAGGCTCCCGGCCTCTTACTTCTAGGAGCGCTCGCATCGCGGAGCCGCGACACATCCACTGAAACTATCATTTGCTGAGATGATCATTGGCTTAATCTTGTAGCTTTGATTGCACTCTTGCTTTCCCAGAAGATTCAGTCTTTGCCCGAGGTTGGCCGGATAGGTCGCCGGTGTTGTTCCACTTTTTCAGACTCTAAAGAAGACGAAGACGTTCAAAAATCATTTTGCACATCAAGTACTGCTGCACTAATTTTAAAAGCCGCATGTATTAACACCTCGCCGGGATGGGATTGCAGCTCAAAAGAAAGCTTCATATTCTGAAGCTCCAGATATCTGGATTTCACGCCGTATAACCCGTCCTCAAGAATTATCACTATCCTTCACTATGAACATATTGAACAGATACAAGAAGCTGTACAAGCCGCATTTTCCAGCTTTTTATGTGATACCCTGATAATCCCCGCTAGCCGATCGTCTTTCCTTCAAAGTCATTTTTATATCTTCGAGGTTAACGAAAACTCTCTAAAGTACTACTGTTCGTCTAACCCAACAGTGCTAGGCATGTTGCTGATAAGAACGAATGAGTTTTTGAAACATCGAGTTCTTCATAAACCACAGGATTGAAGCGGGGCGTACGTACATTTTAGTTCAGTACATAGGGGATCCACCAAAGCTTATAGTGGATCTGATAGAGTGCTGTGACTTGCTCCGATATTGCTATACGACACACGCACGCATAGTCGCGATAATCGTTTATCCAATACCAGTGCGTCACCTCTGCTTCGCAGAGACTCGCACTGGCCCTTTTTTCTATATGCCTTACTCATTCCCGCATAATAATGACATTGAAACTCACCGCGCTATGTAGGCTATCACGAATAATTCGTAAACAACTACTCATTCGTAGAGGTTTTCCATGTGAGATCGGTATTTTCGCGTGGATAAAATCTTTTCCAGAAGAATAGATGTAAATTCGAATAGGTTTTTGGAATTTTTATGGCTTGGTAGTCGCCGTAAGGACAATAAACATAGTGGGCTACATCTCTGTGCAAAAATCTTCTCAAATGATCAGGTAAAATCTTTAAAAATTGAGCGTTCACACAGCGAATGCTTTTTGGCTGGTGTTTTCGTAAAGTAGTAGACTTTTCGTTACTTTTTTAGGCTAATATCCATGGCTTGCACATTAGCTTGTCAAATATATCCTTAACTCTGGAAAAAGTAGTACTATGGACCCAAATTTGCTGGCCAGAAGCCAAGTGGATCCGTTTGACGCGCAATTTTCAATGGATTCATTCAACGGATCCGCTCATGCTTTTGTATAATGAGCTTTCATGCTAGTAGCGTGCCCTATGCAAAATTTGGGCTTAGGACGTTGGCTGGAATACGCTCTACGAATTTCGTGACAGACAGAGATTCACACAGACAGACAAACGTAAACAACCCTTAGCCCGTTATTATAAGTTACCAGTGCGTCACCTCTGCTTCGCAGAGGCTCGCACTGGCTCTACTATCCTCATCTCTTCCTCGTAGTCCCAAAACGATGGCTTTGAAACTTACCTCGCGATGCCGATCATCACGAATGAAATGTAAACAACTACTCATTCTAAAAGCTTTTCCATGTGAGATCGGCGACTTTGAGGGGAAAAAAGTATTCACCAAAAGACTAGATACGATTTTGAATCAGTTACTGGGGGTTATAATGGCTTGATAGTCTCCATAAAGATGATGACAATCGTGAGTTACATTTCTGCGCAAAAATTTTCTCACATTCCCAGGTAAAACCTTGACAAATCGATTATCTACGCAATTAATTCTTTTTGGCGCCAATCTTGCGTAAAGTAAATTTTTTGCTCACTTTTAGGGGCTGGAGTCCATGGTTTACGGATTTACTTGCTAAACGAAACCATGACTTTGGAAAAAGTCAAATTGCAGGCCCACTTTGGCGCGCGAAATTTCGCGTGGATCCGTTTGGCGCACAATTTCACAGGTTCCAATTATCGGATTGGCTTGTGCTTTTGCATACTTTACCTACATGCTGATAGGGTGCTACTACCAAAATTCTAGCTCAAGACCTTTGCTGGAACTCGCTCTACGAATTTCGTGACAGACAGAGATTCACACACACAGACAAACGTAAACAACCCTTAGCCCGATATTATAAGTTACTAGCTGGCTTACCCGGCTCCGCCGTACCCGGACCAAACTTGGCACACATACACTTCGGGCCCCGGCGGGTGTCACAGTCCACTTTTCGTTATCGATCGATGTCGATTTTACCGATTTTTATCGATTTTTTCGCAGAGTTCACCTATAGGGCTAGGAGTTGGCACAGGGGGGGGGGAAGTGAGCATGGGGATTCCGAATACAATATTAGTTTTCAGAATTATCGGTTACTTTTATTGATTTTATCGATTTTTTGTAAATTTTGACATGCGAGGCTGGGATTTTGCACAGGGGGGTAATCGAGCATGCTGATTACGAACACAAGATTAGTTTTCGGGATCGTCCATTACTTTTATCGATTTTATCGATTTTTTTGCAAAGTTTGACCTGCGGGGCTGGAAGTTTGCACAGGGGGGTAATCGAGCATGCAGATTACGAATACAATATAAGTTTTTAAAATTATCCATTACTTCTATCGATTTTATCGATTTTGCAAAATTTGAGCTAGGGGGCTGGAATTTGGCACAGGGGTGTAATCGAGCATGCTGATCACCCCCCTTGGGGATGATCAGCATGCTCGATTACCCCCTGTGCCAACTCCCAGCCCCCTAGCTCAAACTTTGCAAAAAATCGATAAAATCGATAAAAGTAATCGATAATCCTGAAAACCAATATTGTATTCGGAATCCCCATGCTCGATTACCCCCCTGTGCCAACTCCCAGCCCCGTAGCTCAAACTTTGCAAAAAATCGATAAAATCGATAAAAGTAATCGATAATCCTGAAAACCAATATTGTATTCGGAATCCCCATGCTCGATCACCCCCCTGTGCAAAATCCCAGCCTCGCATGTCAAAATTTACAAAAAATCGATAAAATCAATAAAAGTAACCGATAATTCTGAAAACTAATATTGTATTCGGAATCCCCATGCTCACTCCCCCCCCCTGTGCCAACTCCTAGCCCCGTAGGTGAACTCAGTAAAAAAATCGATAAAAATCGATAAAATCGATATCGATCGATGACGAAAAGTAGCCTATGACACTCGCCGGGGCCCGAAGTGTATGTGTGCCAAGTTTGGTCCGGATCGGTTCAGAAATGGAATTTTCTATTCGGAACATACGTACACACAGACATACATACATACATACATACATACAAACAGACATTCAGCTTTATATATAAGACTAGTTGGCTTTCCCGGTCCAGCCCGGGCCATTTTCATCTGCACTGCGAGCTCCCCCTCTCCTCCCCCCCCTCTTATATTGGATGACTTACCCCGGGACATCCGTTTCGATACCGCATTCTCGCGATCCCGAGGTAAAAATGAGCCTCACCGCCCTCCTTTACATGAAATGGGAAAATGCTCGATTAAGCATGATAAGCTTTCAATTCCTTACAAAAACGTAAACAAATCAATAAATCGTTAGAAGGACCCCTTGAATCGCCGCGAAAAGTAGCCTATCATCTGCGCAGGGGTCGAAAACATAAGTGTGCAAAGTTTCAGATGAATCGGTTGAGCGGCGCGAGTTTCTATAACGCACATACCCTCCAAACTGACAATTTTTGAGTTTTATATATATAGATGATACGATACGGCCAGACGATAGCCGAGTGACACAGTGGATACGTTGGCGACGAAGGAAAAAAGAGAGAATACGAATGAACCATCTCCAAAAATAAGCTTATCATAACTTATAATAACGGGCTAAGTGTGTTTACGTGACTTTGTGTGTGCGTGTCTGTCTGTCCGTCTGTCTGTAACGAAATTCATACAGCGCGTTCCAGCCAACATCCAGAGCTCAAATTTTGCATAGCGCATGCTACCAACGTAAAACTCCACCATGCAAAAGCATGAACGGATTCGCTGGGTGGGTCCCTCAGAATTTGCGCGTCAAACGGATCCACTTGGCTTTTGGCCCGCAAAATTGGGTCCGTATCAACGCTTTCTGCAAAGCCGTGGATGTGTTTAGCAGGTTGATGTGTAAGTCATGGACTTTAGACCAAAAAGTGACCAAAGGTTTGCTACTTTACGAAAACAACGCCAAAAAGAAGTGTTTGCGTAAATGGTCAATCCGCCGTGGATTTACTTGAGCATTGGAGAAGAGTTTTGCATAGAGATGTAGCTCACGGTAACTATTGTCCTCATGGCGACTACCAAGCCAAAAAAGATTTCAAAATCTATTCAAACTTGCATTTGTTCTTCTGCGAAAAGTTAGGCCCCGGACAGACTTCACGCGATTAGATCGTCGCGACTGAATCGCGACGAGACAACTGTTACAACATTATTCCATGCCAATCAACTTGCATTTCGGTTGTGATACTTTTCCAGCCCGAAATTTTTGAATGTGAAATGAAAATGAAAGGAAATGTCGGCGATTAAGGCGCAACATCAAATTGCGTGAAGTCTGTCCGGTGCCTTACATCCACGCGAAATCACCGATCTTACATAAAAAAGCTTTTAGAATGTATAGTTGTTTACATTTTATTCGCGATAGTCAGCATTGCGCGGTGAGTTTCAAAGCCATTATTAGGCGAGAATAAGTATAAGGCATATAGAGTGCGAGCCTCTGCGAAGCAGAGGTGATGCACTGGTGACTTATAATAACGGGTTAAGGGTGTTAACGTGTTTTTGTGTCTCTCTGTCTGTAACGAAATTCACAGAACGAGTCGCAGACAAGGTTTCAAGCCGCAACTTTTTGCACAGCATGCACTGCCGCCATCCAGATTCACCATGCCAAAGCACGAACAGAACCGTTAAGTAGGTCTCTCAAAAATGGAACCCCATACGGATCCACTCAACGTCTGGCGCGCAATATTGGGTCCGTATTACCACTTATTGCGAAGTCGTGATTACGTTTGGCAAGTGAATGTGTGAGCCATTATCTTTAGCCCAAAAATGGTGATGGAAGTTAATTACCTCATGAAAACGGCGCCAAAACGAATTGTTTGCGTAAATGGTCAATTCGCCAGGTTTTTATCTAAGCATTTGAGAAGATTTTTGCACAGGGATGTAGCTCACCGTGATATTATCCTTATGGCGACCACTAAGCAATAAAATAATTCAAAAGTGTTGTAATCCTGCATTTGTTCTTTATCTTCGAAGTTTCATCCACGCAAAATACCGATCTCACACGAAAAAGCTTTCGGAATGAGTAGTTGTTTACGATTCATTCGTGAAGGCGGGCATTGCGCGGTATGTTTTAATGCTATATTATGCGGAATGATTATGGCATATAGATAAAAGAGCCAGTGTGATCCTCTGCAAAGCAAAGGTGACGCACTGGTGGCTTAATAATAGAGTAACAACTACAGCCAGCATCATAACACTAAAATTTGTATCTTCATTCGCAGTCTGCGATACATATATCATCAGGTTGGCCTATAAACAAAGTCCGTTTTGCGTGTAACTTTGAAGCTCCATAACAATCTAAGTAGCAACTAATCCGCTAAGATTCTTTGTGATTTGAGGGGTAGCCTCAAGTCTTTCCTCTTATCTGTCAGACATCTAAGACATCAGTCGTTCGGGTATTTGCAAGTCATTTTTTGGGCGATCCAAATGGCTTGAACTTGGCCATCTATGATCATGTGAATAGTTGGTTGAAATTTTCATAGGCGCGAAATATAGTACAGTGTACACCAATCTGTTTCCTCGAGTATGAGTTTTTGAATATTTGATGAAGAAAGTTTAACTGTTCTTTTTTCTTGTGCCCTGAGTAGAAAAAGTAATTTTTGAACAGATAGAGTTGACCATCTAATTCGCATTGATATGTTCTTTCCAACGGTAGCACACATTTATAAATACATCAATTTTTGAGATTTTTACAAACCATTAAAAACGACCGAACTTATTTTTTAGCCAACCTGATAGAATCCAAGATCATTTATAAGTTAGGCATCTTTCCTCTTCGGCTTGTGGTTCATCGCAAGTTTCTTGACTCCAGAACATCATTTGTTCTTATCAGCAACATGCTTAGCACTGCTGGGGTTAGATAGTCAGCACAACTTTGGAATGTTACCGCTGACTTTGAAGAAAGAAAAATGACTTTGAAGAGAAGACAGTCGGCCGTGGGTGGATCATCAAGGGATCATACAAAAAGCTGGAATACACGGTTGTACACCTTCTTGCTCCCGTTCAATATGTTTATAGTGAAGGATGGTGGGAATACTTACGGATAGCTTATACGGCGTAGACAGCGTGAAACCCTGATATCTGAAGCTTCACAATTTGAAGCTTCTTTTAAGCTGCGATCCCCTCCCCGGCGGGGATGTTAACGCATGTGACCATACCTTCGATAGTCAAGAGAAAAGGGCTAGAAAGTGATAGTTGTTTGAGTTCCTGCCCCCTATAAAAAGTGAAGGTTGTTTCAGAAAAAATAGACGAAGATTTAGAGATACAAATTAAATTAGAATTAAATTAAATTAGAAAACTTAGAAAATTCATATAAAGCAGAGGTTAGCACATCACCAAATCTGAAACCTTAACTTGGTGCCTTCCTACGCAGAGTTTCGTCTCCAGGATTGCCGGTAAAAATGGGTGGCAACAACAACAAAGTTCTTTTCCAGTCAAAAAAAGCGCTGTTTAGCTGTGGCGTTAGTTGGGAGACCGAAAGAAGAAGAACTTGTCAACAACTGAATTGAACATGTTAAACATGCCCGTAAAGTTGTGTTGCACATCGACGCCAATCTGATTTTTGATGCGTCCTTTAAATTTTCACCCCCGCATAGTCGTTTCGTACGCTGCGACGTTGTGTGGATTCTTCCGCTCATCATTCTGAGCAAGTATCGTCCAAGTTGGAAAAAATTCGCTGGAAAAGCACAGAAAGAGAACAAGGTAAAGAAAAACGCACTTTTTTGTATTTTTCACAAAGAAAACCGGCATACAAAGAAGTAAGCTCGGCGACGTTGTCTACATCATAGACAGAAACAAGACCTATCGAAGGCACAAAAAACCCGAATGAAAAAAGTTAAACTGAAGAAAAAACAAGAGGTTTTCGAAAACGCCGTTTTTCGAGGATGTCTCGTTTGAATCCTAAAAAGAAGTTCCGCGACGTTGTCAGCGTGAAAATAGAGATCAAGAGCTTTAATATGATATATAGAATATCGAAATTGCGCTCCGAACAACGAAGAAAAGGGTACCAGAGCCAAATGCCCCGCGCCCCGCATTTGAGGTAGCGAGGTAGCGCGCAGCGCGCGGAGACGCAGACGAGCAGCGGAGACGGACCAGAGCGACGGAGCATTTGGCTGTGGTCGTGGATCTTCGCAGGGTCTCAACGAAACCCTGCAAAATTATATATCGTTGTGATCCTCATGAGACGGCCAGGAGCACTGACAACGTCGCGGGTCTTGAAAATCACTCCATAACGAGATAGACCAGCATTCATATGGCGACTCTTTGCGCAAGATTTTAGCGCAGTTTTTCGTTTTTATTGAACTCTAGCGGCTTTAATGAACTTCCAACATTCAACCGCAGTTCAGAGAAAGGTTAACTGAGAAATTTTGCCCCAGTTTCTATTGAATTTTTAAATAAAAACCTTCTTCTCAACAAAAAAGGCCATAAAAACGCAATCCTTCGGTTTTTTTAGCTTCTTTTGAATCTGCTATATTTGCCTCATTTAAATTCATCCCTATACGGTTATGTCACTAGTTATGTCATAATTTCCGGGGCTTCGCCCCGGATGACTTCTGTACTTCTCCCCAGGTGCAGGTTGTGTTCTATCATGACGCTCAAAGTGAAGGTTACCAGAGTACATGGCTCTATGTATCGAAGGTATGCATGTGATTCTTAGTTATTAGCTGAAGCAAAACAATAAGACAAAACAATTCTTTTTGCCTTCTTGAATGCAAGCAGGCTCATCATCTCTGTGCCTCGCAAAACTATCGCCAAGGATTTTGAGCGCCGGTGGTAAAGCGTTCGCCTTCTAATGACTTTAACGATTGCCATTACTGTAGAAGTTCTGTCATCATTCAATATTTTCAATCTACATTACCCTCTGTTTACATTTCACTTAGCAGCATTAGTCTGCGAGAGTTCACTCAACTGTACAAAACAAAACTAGAGAGGTAAAGATGACAATCATTTCTCTCAGGCTTTGGAGTTCCACGTCGTGAGGTACCGTATTGGATGGTGTGGATGTATTCATTTTTTGACAAAGAAATCGCGTCGGGTCTGTACCGCATTGGTGATACGGTACGCTTCGATAACTCAAAGGTTTGTCACATCATTTTTGAGTGATTAAATGTCATAAAAATTACACCTTCAAGGCAACGCGTCTTCTCGGTATGCAATTTCGTGATCCTACAGAAAGTTTCATTGAAATGGGCTATTCACTGATCGAAAGAGGAATTGTCAAAAGGCGATCTGGCTATCGCGGAGTACCCGTCAAATACCAACATCTCATTCAGTCTAACGATAAGTAGATTTGCACAATTTTATCAGCTTCAGTAATCAGTTTTTAGCGTGAAATTTGTCTTTCCTCAGGAGACTTTGATCCTTATGTAAAAAGGACTGTGCAGTTCATTGTATGTTATAGTTGCAGTAGTACACGCACAGAGTGGACATATTGCAGAGATTTATATCCTTCTAGACCCGTATGCATGTACATCCCTAGAGAGAAGGCCAGCTACGGATTGCTCTCGTTCTCTGTGGATCTGTATTTTTATTGATTATTCGTCTTCAGAGGGCTTTAATGTCCTGATAACCGTGCACAATAAATGATAGCGCGATCATGTACGAGCTAACATTTTCACTGTTCTGTGTGATTTCCGCGAAATCCCAAACGGATCGACTCATTATTATTATCTCAAAATTATCTCTTTTTATGTGTTAAAAAAATTCTGAAAGACAATTCACGACTGTAACCATGTTCATGATTGGAATTAACAAGGTTTCAAGTGATCGCATATTCGCTGCACCCCCTCCCTGGTCCATGAAATACCCTATTCTATGGCTCCTCACCGTTCCAGGAGTCTTTTTCAACACTAGCTCACTAAAGTTGAGCATTTTTGCCACTTCAACGTTATTCTTTATTTTTGTTGAACCGTAACAGATTTTCAAGAGCAATGGCTTGGCAGAAGAGACTCGTGTTAAATAATGTCACGAAGTAGAAGCACCAATACGGAAACTACGGGCCAAGTTTGGTCTCTCGTTGCCACTTCTAACCCACGAAAACCACATCGCGAAAGGTAGCGCTTCTACCTCCGCTCACAACTCCCATCTCTGACGCCGCCCACCTTGCCATTTTCCTTCAACTGTCAAAGGCTGCGTTCATACTGATCCCGAAGTCCGGGAACAGTTCCAGCACTGTGCTCGAACTAAGCGTTGTGCTGAGACTGTCCCCGGACTTCGAGATCAGTATGAACGCAGCCAAAGCGCGCATGCCAGTGCTATAAGCATAAGGGTCCCGTAATGACTCTGCGTCTTCGCTTGTCCATGTTTGAAATTGAAGGCTTTGAAAAGTGCTCGTTCAAGCCCATTTCGTCTTCCGAGCGGGTATTCGGACAGCACAGCGGATTACCCCAGGTAAGCGAGGAAATAATGCTTTGAGAATTTGCCAAGATACTGTCTCTAAAGGCAGTCTGCCTTTAGAGGCAGTAGCCCGACGTTCAGCCAAATGCCGTCTTTAAAGGCCTGAAAGTAAATCAAGCATTACTAACGATCAGGACTATCATACCTCCTTCCAACCGTGTATATGACTCATCTACTGCAGACAAGTTTGGAAGTTGAACAGCTTACCAAGTGGTCCTGGTAAGAAGCGTAAAGTGTTAGCTTGCTCTTATGGTCGTCCACAGCAAGTGACGACAAAATGAGCATTCCGGATAAGTAGGGGTGGGATAGTGCAGGGCGACAGCTCAATGGTAAGAATTGTTCCAGATCACTCTTGATAGACAAATGTTCATTCTTGCTGTTCATTTTGAGATTGCGAGCAAAGAATATCGAGAATAATCATGACTTATAATAAGCGGCTAAGGATGTTTACGTCTTTTTGTCTGTGTGTGTGTGTGTCTGTCCGTTACGAAATTCGTAGAGCGTGTTCCAGCCAACGTCCTGAGCCCAAATTTTGCATAGCGCACGCTACCAGCACAAAAGCTCACTATGCAAAAGCATGAGCGGATCCGTTGAGTGGATCCGTTGAAAATTGCGCGTCAAACGGACCCACTTGGCTTCTGGCCAGCAAATTTAGGTCCGTAGTACTATATTTGCAGAGTTATGGATATATTCGACAAGTTGACGTGCAAGCCATAGACGTTAGCCTAAAAAAGTGACGAAAAGTCTACTAATTTACGAAAACAGCGCCAAAAAGCATTGGCTGTGTAAACGGTCAATTTTTCAGGATTTTACCTGATCATTTGAGAAGATTTTTGCACAGAGATGTAGCCCACGATGTTTGCTGCTCTTATGATGACTAGGAAGCCATAGAAATTCCAGAAACCTATTCAGATTTGCATTTGTTCTTCTGGGAAAGATTTCAACCACGCCAGTGCGAGCCGCTGCGAAGCAGAGGTGACGCACTGGTATTATAATAATGGCCAAATAGTTTATTCAATATAACTGAAGAATTCTATTAGGTTGTCCGGAAATTAATGTAGGTTTTGAATTCCAACCGCAATAAGTCATATACTTCTCATTTCTAAGTAAGTTGCAAATCACTATTCGATAGAACAAAGCAAGCTCTACAATATGCCTATTTTGCTTTAGCAACAACTCCTATTTACCATGAGTTTCGAGCCAAAAACTAAAAAGATTCAACTGTCCGAAAAATTAAGAAAAAACGTAACTCAGTTCATAAAAATCCTACAAAATTCTAACTTGCTTACGTAAACACAATCCACATAGAGCATCTATATACGCCGTTACCGTATTTTTTCTCTGTTAAAAATTAAGAAAAGGGAAATTTCCGTGCGTTTGCCAAAGTGATGCTGTGCCGTTCCCACATAAGTAGTTGTATACTACAAACCTGTAGTAGTATAAACGTAAATTTCTAGCTCCCTACAAGCTCTAGTTCTCGAGAAATTTGAATTTTAGCTTGGACGACTTGACTAGGGAAAACTGTATTCGAAATTTCTCGAGGACTAAAGCTTGTAGGGAGCTGGAAATTTACGTTTTGTACTTCTACATGTTTGTAGTATACAACTATTTATGTGGAAACGGCACAACACCACTTTGGCAAATGCACTAAAATTTCCTTTTTCTTGAATTCTGACAGAGAAAATTTGGCAACGGCGTATGTAGATGCCCTATGTGGATTGTATTTACGTGAGCAAGTTAGAATTTTTGTAGGATTTTTATGAACTGAGTTACGTTTTTTCTTAATTTTTCGGGCACTTGAATCTTTTTAGTTTTTGGCTAAACTCATGGTAAATCGGAGTTGTTGCTAAAGCAAAATAGGCATATTGTAGAGCTTGATTTGTTCTATCGAATAGTGATTTGCAACTTACTTAGAAATGAGAAGTGTATGACTTATTGGCCCGTAGTAAACTACCGTCAGGGCATCTCCCCTGAGGCGGACCGGAGTTGATATCTTGGCGCCTCAGTCCAGCATCCGGCGAGCTATTGATCTGGATGCAGATCGCTTCCTGGACATTGTGATCAAGTGCCTTCTCGAGAAAACAGCTACTTGATTCGATTTGGTTGAATGGGTAAGCCATTGGAATTACACGCGCGCGGCCGTGGTTCGACTCCGCCTAGCGGCACAACTTTTGCTGCATCGCCGGGCAATCTTTGATAGCGGCCACTATCCAATCGATGATGACCGCTATCAAGGATTTCGCCTAGCAAACGCAAAGATAAAACAAAAAAACATTTCGTAACGAAAATTTTGCGACAAAACGAAATGGTTGCAACGTGAATTCAATGAAATGAACAAATAAGTCCTCGTTTTGGACAGCTTCAAAAAAAAACCAGTAAAGTTTACAAAAAAGAGAAGAACTTATTTTTTTCTGTCTTCCTCGCCAAAATCAGCTGTTCATCGATCCTCTCCTTTTCGGGCGCGGTCGTGCAATTTTGCGCCGATTTTGTCCGCAGTGTTAGGCAAATTGCTGTGTATCGTAAGTTACTCAGGAGCAACTTACGAAGATTTTCTCTGCGTTTCCTCTTTAGCACACTATTTCTGAACATCATCGCTCATATCATCTCCCATGACCCGGCAGGGGAGATCATCTCCCTGCCGAACTTCACCTGAGGCTCACCTCTCAGGTGACCTTGCATCCGTATAGCATGGGGATATGGGCGGTCGTCATTTTACTGGCAAAACCTCACATGAAGGTCTCAGGGGAGATCATCTCCCATGATCGAGCTTTACTACGGGCCATTGCGATTGGAACTCAAAACCTGCATTAATTTCCGGACAACCTAATATTAACCATACCCCGGTTTCACAAGAAGGAGACATACAATTTACATTATCGTTGGTTCTTCACATAGGTAAATGATTCGAAAAAAAGCGTCGAATCTTCAGAATCTCAGAGATCACACAAAACCCTAAAAGTTACACCTCAAATGAACCTCATTCCAGCGTAATTAGGATGTTCATAGTGCAGGATGAGCTCTCGAAGAAGTAGCAACAAAATTCCATCACAGCTTCCCTTTCTCTTGATAAAGGCACTCACTCTCATCGTGGGCATCTCTTCTAATCCTGACTCGCTAAAGACGCAAAAGCCTGTGATAACGTTAAGTCCGTCTTTAGTCTTTTACAACACCTGCACTGCACCCTCTATGTTGCACTGTGAGAGAAAATGTCAACTTTCTTTTCGTCTGTTGACAGGAGAACCATGAGAGAGAAATAAGCGAGAATATTGCAGGAAATGTAAAACACATTGTGCTTGGTGAATTCAATGAAGTCATGCTAATATTCAGGGTGTCCCAATAAATGTGCCTACTGTTTGATTGTTAATAACTCTCTTATGATGAAGCCTTTCAAGATGCTTTGAGTACCATTTTTAGAGCTGGCTTCCACTTACAAGGGAATGGTCAAAAGTCGAAGTGGCCAAACCAAACAAGCTGTATATCATTCGATGCAGTATAAAACGCTGACTTCGAATCTGTCTTCCTTATCTGCTTATCGCTTCTGGGGACGAAGCTACGAGCGGTTTTATTGTGAAAAAAACATACATAAAAACAGCGAAATTGAGCACATTGTTGCACTTTTAGCTCAACTTTTGGCTTTGAAAATTTAAAGTAAGCTAGTTGCATGTTTTGGCCCAGCACTGAGGCGAACGCGGCTCTGCACGGCTAAATTTTCAGTTTTACGCATAATTTCTTAGCAAAATAATGGTCTTTAATGGCTTATAGCTTCGTCCAGAGAAGCGATAAGCAGGTAAGGAAGACAGATTTAGAGTCAGCGTTTCATGCTGCATCTAATGGTATGCAGCTTGTCTAGATTGGCCACTTCGAGTTCTGACCATTCCCTTGTTAGATCTGCGGTATGAAGCCGATTACCGACTGCTCTCCTTTACTGTAGGATTACCGTAGGAACTTCGTAGAGGGTTTTGAGCTATGAAAGGGGCCATATCTTGCCTCAGAAAGGAAACAGAACAATCTGATAACTTTCACACTGGGTTAATTAGGGTTGCCGACTCTGATTGTGAAGTTCGAGACTTATGAGCTTCATTGAAAAGTTATGCAAGGTAAGTAGTAGCGGCCGTTTTGTTCTTAAAAAGTGCGATTAGACCTTTTAGAAAGCTCGCAATCTTAAACCTAGTTGAGCATTGAACTCAGCGTCTATGGAAATCTTATTACACTACTTTTCACTTTTTTGATAATTATACAAAATTGCAGCTTTTACACAGCGACACCATATGTTGAAGTTTCTACCGTAATCCTACAGTAGTGAAAGCGATTACTCTATGCTGCAGATCTGAATTGAAGCCAGCCCTACAAAAAGGTGCCTAAAGCTTCTCAAAGGTCTTTATTACAAGAGAGTTATTAACAATCAAACAGTAGGCACATCTTCTTGGAACAATCTGTAGATACACTTATTAATGGGGTAGTGCGGAATAGAAATTTCTATTTCCGAACAGATCCGGACCAAACTTTGCACACATACTCTTTTGCAGCGGGGTGGAACAGGTGTCATGGGGTACTTTTTTCTCATCAATCGACAACGATTTTATCAGTCTTTAGCAATTTTTTGCAAAGTTTGAGCTTTGAGATTGGGTGCTGACAGAGTTAGGGTCCTGATTATAGATACAAAATAGTGGGCAGTTTTGGGAGAGCCTGCACAATGAAACTGGTCCTCACTGCAATCTACACAGCCTGTATTCCCATGGAGAGCCTACATCTAATGTGCTAAAAGCGCTAGCTATGCTAGCTATGGCGCCTACTTTCACCATGATATATCCTTGAACGTCATGCGCGGACGACTCAATGCAACTTCCAATCATCCGGAAACTTTCGACTTTCACTTCGATTTCAGCCAGCATCGATTCGCTGACCTCGATAGTGAAATGGCGGCGATTCTTTGCAACGATAACGCCACTGAAACTGCCGCATTAGGTGCCAATTACCAAACTCGAATTTTTCTCAAATTTAGGCCATTTTACTTGTCTCTGAACTCTATAGGATTACCAGATGGGACTTTGTTCACCAAAGTGCCTGTAAATGTCCTCTGCACTTGATTACGATTGTCCCAATTGCAGAAGGAACTCGTTTTGCCGCACTCTACCGACAGAGAAAGTGTGTACATCGCGCACATATCTTCCTAGACTACACTCAGCTGACCTTCCTACAATACCTTTTACGCATGATTTATTATGGATCATCTCAATAACAATGAAACTTGTGAGTCTAGTTTCTCCCTTTGTGAAATTTTTATTTCTCAGTCCAAAAATAAGAGAAAAGCAGTCTCCGTGCGGCGCGATAGTCGATGAGTGACAAAAGTCTTGCTCGAGAAATTTTTTCGAATTGATGATATCTCTGGTTTTCAACATAATGGAAACGTCCACTCTTCTAACTGCTTAAAGCCGATATTTTCTTCTGTATATGGCAGCATACAAATGAATAAGAAAATTATTCAAATTTTGAAATATGGAGACTAGCAATAAAAAACCTCAAATTCAGCAAAGCCTGATTTTGGTTTTATTTGGTTCCATGATCAATTAATCACGACATGGGATGATCGGATGTCCCTGAGACTAGCTATAATTTTCGGCTTTTTGTTATTTCAAATTGCTCAAGTTATATGAACGGAGTGTTAGACAAAAAATAGCATGATGAATATAATAAAAAATACAATGGTAATCAAAGCTTTGAGATTTCAAAAATGATGTTTTCAAAACTGTTGATGCAAACCTGATGTTACAATCTGATTTTGGGGACCTCTCGCTTTATAAATCACTCTGTCTAAACAATTTGGTGATCTACGACACATCTACTGACCTACCAAGAAATTCCTCATTTGCGCCGCTTCCTGGCACTGTAAAAAGGACTGGAATATGAACTTTATTCTTCTGTTTGTATTCTCTTTGCTGACAAAAGTGAAAGGACCAAGTTATGCGGCGATGATTGACATCATTAATGGAAGTTTACTTTTTGAGAGAGAGAAAGAGCTGTTTGCAAAGTACAGGGCAATGAATCACCAGTGTTTGCAAAGTGTTTGGATAAGTTCGCGCAAGCAACAATAGGAATGCATACGTTAGCGGTCCCGTGGTGTAGCGGTTAGCACTCAGGACTCTGAATCCTGCGACGGGAGTTCAAATCTCCCCGGGACCTTGGCCTTTTGCACACGATAATATAACTCAAACATGCCCTAAACTGTAAATAGTCCACTATTTGACCAAAATACTACATTTTTATTTCAGGAAGTGCAATTTTTCACTTTTGTTGAAATTTTTTTTTGATTTTTCATTTGTACATTTTTTTCAAAATACTATTTCAGTAGTACTGGTGACGGGTGCATCGGGTTATATAGCTTCACACTGTGTCAAATTGCTTCTAAGCGAAGGTTATCGAGTTCGAGGAACTGTCCGAAACCTGAAGAATGAGAAAAAGGCAGGTTTTTTATTCCAAATCATTCTTTTTCTTCTTTTGAATTTCTGGATATGTATCTCCAACACTGAGTTTTTCCCGTCATTGTGAACATCCGCACACATTATATTAAATCAGTTGTATTTTTTGTCTTTGACCATTATATGACAACTATAAAAATTGCGGGCAACGAATTCCCCGCGCTTGTTGAAACTGCTAAACCCTCCCAACTCTTCCAAGAAAAAATCAAAAGAGCCAAATGGCTGAGAGGCAGATTTTCAAAAAAATTATTAGGGCACACTCTCTCAAAACTTGCAGAGTTTAATTGTTTTCTCTTTGTTGTTTCAAATTTTCAAAATCTTGCTTATTGAGTTAAACAGACGCTCTCCATCTTCTTCACAGCACTAGCTAATACCAAATCCTTCAAAGTCTTCAAATTTGGCCTCTTCGAAAAAAAGCTCCAATCTAGAAAGAACAGGTCATGATGGACTGGACTTTTTGTTATTTCCTTATTCAGGTGGGACCAGTTCGACAGTTACAGAAAGATGACCGTTTGGAATTAGTGGAAGCAGATCTGTTGCGACCAGACGGATGGGCAAGGTGAGATAATTTTACCTGAGTCGTTTCCTTTCGGCTGGATAAACTTTTGTTGTTTCAAGTTTGAGGTTAAACTTTCCAGCCTTCCAAATCGCGCTTCGTAAAAGTCACTCTTTTCCTCAACTAATTTTCATGTTGTTTGCCTCCTCGTTTGCAATCCGTTCCAAGGTCTTTTTTGCAATTCCATTTCAACTCAAAACTTTTTCACCTTCAAAATTTTCGTAGGATATGGATGTGTCACGAATATTACTATTCCCTTCCAAGGTTTTGGTGCATGTCTCGAGTTTTGATTGATTTCGTCCGATCAAAATTTCTATTTGAAAATTTTATTTTAGTGTTGTCTCCGGTTGCCAATACATTCTACATGTCGCATCCCCCTTTCCTCTTGTGGCCGATGCTACCTGTATCGATATCGCTGTCAACGGGACTTTAAACGTCCTTCGAGCTGCTTCAAAGGAACCATCTGTGAAGAAGGTTGTACTTACTAGCAGTTGTGCGGCTATCAATGGTAAGCCAAGCTGGAATAATTCAAACTTTTATGCATTTTTTCTTCCTTTTTTGATTATTTTTGCATAGTTTAGGCAGTGAATACAGTTTATTAACAAAGGAGAGTAATTTACTTCATTCTTTATGACCCACAGATAAAGGCTACAGAAGAGAGAGCCCATCAAGTTCTGACTTTCAATGATTATCCGCTGGTTTAGATAAAGATTTTGAGTCAAAATACTCGATCGATTTGCGCTTTTTCAAAAATGTTCTCCTTTGAATTTTCTAAATTTCTGATTTATTAGATTTAATGCACATTCAATGCAAGTTGCTCAAACTATAACTGCAGAGAATCAAAACATACAGAATTGAGACATGTAATATACAGTATCATAATGTTGCAAGCCACATATGTTTTGGTAGAGCTAAGCAAGCTTTACTATATCACGATGACACAAGGCAATCACATTTGTACAGTGATTGATCCAATGAAATCTAAAATCAAAATCAAAAAATTTCAAATGCACAAAATAGAAATTTATATATGTAGTTGCCGAACTTTCCATGCTCAAATTTAAGAAAGCGGAAGTCAGCATGGGCTTACAAAGAAATACTGGAAATACTTCTCACAATCAGATAAGTAATTCTATACCGAAACTCTAAGTATTAGGTTGACGCAAAAATAATGGCCGTGGACTACGGGTTCTTGAAGCTAAAACTTATTTTACTCAAATAGTGCAGATACCAATCTGAAATTTCACAGTCATGCTTTGAAGGCTTTGTGGTACCCAATACCTTAATAGGGAGAATGGGGCGGAGTTAGAGGCAGAGTTTGCAGATTTTCAATATTCGTTTTTTTAAAATTCCAAGTGACAAAAAATTACAGCAAGTGCATTAATGAACGTTACTTACTGTGTGTCTACTATGTGATGATCAACTGGGAGACTTGCAGGACTTCTCCGAGCAAAAATCCGATTTTTAAGCTGGCCAAATGCTCACAAATTTTGGCACCAAACTTTAGGTAGACTTGATGACTTTTGGTAGTCACTTTGTAGAGCTTGCTTCATTCTATCGAACGGTATCTCATTCTTAAATTTCTGTATCCATATACTTTGGTAGCATATGCAATGACCATTATTTTTGCATCAACCTAATACAATCACAATTTTAACCTTTCCCAGGTGCTGACCTCCAAGAAATATCGGATTTTAATGAAAACCGAAAGACGGATATTCTTGTATTTTTGGATTAAGTTTATCTCTCGTATCCGAACCTTAGGGAAAATGCATTCTATTTGCAAGTTTCTGTTGTGAAGGGTATATTCGTGTGAGCATGTTGGGCTCCATAGAAGCTTTTAGGAAAGATCCAAGTTTTCTAATATTCAAATAATTTTGATTTCCCTATGAAATGCACTTGAACCGTGCTTTCTGCAAATGTATTAGGTTGTTGCAAAAATAATGTCCGTTTTTCTAGACCTATATTCCAAACAACTTTTTCCCATCAGACTTTCTTTTTCGATATAGCATCTGCATATCATTGGAAAGCTCTGTTCATGTACTTTCTCGTGGCTGTGAAATTAGGCTGCTATCCTCACTTTTGAGAATTTCACCAGCATTTTGCGCATCCGCATTCAAAATCGTAATCTCATAACTTTCTGTTTCTTGACCACAGTTCAGGAGCAAATAAACGAATTCTTCTGAAAACATAGCAGATGTATTGGATGAAGATTGTTTACCTACTGCATGCTTAAGTAGATTTTTGGAGATATCTGGACTGAGAAATTGACGCGTCAAAATAGACACTCGCTGCTGACATTCTATGGGTCAGAAATTTCTCATAATTAGGGTAATCGCTAAAGCTTCGCCCATTTCTGTAAGCTTGAAACTAGCACACCTTAACTACATTATTTGAAGAGAGACTTAGCTATTCAGTGCGTGAAGAATTCCAAATTTTCATAATTAGGCACTTACAAGCCTACAACAAATAGGCTCAAAAGAGTAAACATTTTTGAATTTTTATCTTTTCCTTTCGCAGAACTCCTTCGTTGGAGTTTTTTCTATACACACCTATACTATTGGCCTGCGGCTACAAAATAAGCTAATTGGCAGACATAGGGACAAAGCTTGAAGGGAGTTGTAAGCTCTTGAAGACGAGGTTTTCAAGAGAAAAACTTTTAGTTTTCTGACGCATGGTTTTCTTCCCGTTTGCGATATCAGTATGGGCAGGGGCGCGCTGAGTTAAGAAAGGTTTGATGTTTCTGATGGTCTTGACTGCATTCATAAATATGGAGACTGAACGAAGTTATAGCTTTCCAAATTGAAAATTTGCAAAACGGACATTATTTTTGCAACAACCTAATAAAACCATCTCGTAGAGCTTCTTATATTATCAAATAGTTACTTAAACTCTATTCATAATTCAGATCAGAAATTTTTTTGATATTACGCAAAAGTGGGAACCTCATAGTCTTAAAAATCACCTAGGATTAGCAAATGACTTGAATTAATAAACTACAAACATTTACCTAGACAAAAAAGAAAAAATCTGTTGTTCATCATTTCTGCTCCTTGATTCAATCAGAGAATTTAAGCACATGATTTTTACCGCTATTGATGTGATTTCAGAAGGACATCCTCAAAACAAAGCCTTCGATGAAACCTCATGGACCGATGTAACCAGCCCTACTGTGGATTTCTACGCAAAAAGCAAGACATTGGCAGAAAAAGCTGCTTGGAACTTTGTGGAAGGTATAAAGGAAGGTAACAAGTGAGTTCGAGCTTACTAAAATATCCTTTATTCGAAGCCCAACAAAATATTTATGAAATTCGATTTCTTTTGGTCACAATACTTACTTTCAAATCAGATTATGTCGCAAGCTTGAGTAAATTATTTTCTCACTTAGAATCCAAAAATTATAAGCACTGATCATGAAATTCTTCGAGAATTGCAACTCAAATAAAAAGGTGTTCCCCGGAACTCCGAGATTTTCAATTTTTCTCGGCAGAATTCGAGCGATTGTCTCAGCGAGATGTGTGCCTCGAATTTACATTGTAGGTTCGCTTTGACATGCCTGAATCCAACTATGGTCGTCGGTCCCCTGCTAATTAATGAGGAGGGAGCAAGCGTTACGGTAAAGCATTGAAAATGCATAAATGAAAATTGAATAAAAGAGAATGATTCTAGCTCATTCGACGTTTCTTGAACACTGAAATGCCAGCTGTTCCTCAGCTGAACCTTGGCTTCGTAGACATCTTCGACGTTGCTAAAGCACATGTTGAAGCCATGCGACGCCCAGAAACTGATGGTGAACGTATCTTGGTAAGGATTACCATCATGGATCGTCTGCCCTGCCTTGCAAATACCTATTTAGATCACTAGCCAGCCTTCATTCTGGTTCAAAGATGTTGCACGAATCCTTGGGAGAGAATTTAGACGTCAAGGTATGAGTCGCACATCTACAATCTGCACCAATCCTAATCAGGCCAAAATTGGCATGGCGGGAGTCCGCGTCACTAGGGTTTCGCGGCTACGCCCACTACCTATTTTTCTGCTCCCTCTTCGATCTTCTCGCTCTCTCCGCCAGCGCGCATATGCTGCGCAAACGCCTAGCGCTGCGAGCGCGCAAATCCACGCGGACGGTTTGGCCTGATCCCGACTGGGGCAGACTATACTCGTATTTTAGTTTCAACCTATTACTATATTGATCACGTGGTAGCAAGGCTATTGAATACAGAGCATCCTTTCCAGTTTAGGATTTTGGGTTCCGCGATATGAAGCTCCCTACTGGTTTGTATGGCTGTACTCGTTTTTCGACAAAGAAGCAGCGGCATGTCTAAATCGTATTGGACATACGATACGTTTCGATAACTCAAAGGTTTGTTTGAATACCAAGGTGATATTCATCGAAAAATGAATATTTTAGGCAACGCGTCTTCTCGGCATTGAATTCCGTGATCCTGCCGAGTCCCTAATTGAGATGGGCTACTCACTTATTGAAAGAGGAATTGTCAAAAAGAAATCTGGCTATCGCGGAGTTCCCAGCAAGTACAAATCACTCATTCAATCAGACTAGAAAACCTGCGTAAAATCATCGTCTTGATCATATCTAAAATTGATAATTCTGTAGACTGCCTTTTTATAGGGTTTGAATCTGTGATAGTCTCAAAACAGAAAGCTGATTTTTTTAATCTTTGTTATGTAATAAAGAGGAAGCATCAGAGGTCAAAGCCTATACGGATTATGAGCAGAGTGAAGCGTGAAGTGTGAAACGCCATACATGAAGTCGCATTCTCAGATAATCGCCGGGGGCAGGCGATCTACGGGGTGTCCGTAAAGTATGTATATACTGTTTGATCGTTAATATCTTTCTTCACAACAAGTCTTTTGCCTTGCTTCAGGTACCGCTTTGTAGAGCTGGCTTCAACTTAGATTTACAGTATGGAGCGAATCACCGATTGCTCTTCATTACTGTAGGATTACGGTAGAAACTTAAAACATATGGTGTCAATGTGGAAAAAGCTGCCATATCAAAATTATTCAAAAAAAAATGGGAGAACTTGTGTAATAGGGTTTTTATGGACGCTGAGTTCAATACTCAATTATTTACAAGATTGCGAAGCTTTTTAGACTGTGTAAGCACACTTCTTAGGAACACTGAAAAAATGGTCGCTATCTCTTACCCGACATAACTCTTCAATGAAGCATCATAATAAGCTGGGATTTACAGTTAGAATCAACAAGTCTAATTAGCCTAGTGTAAAACTTTTCAGGCTGTTTTGTTTCCTTTCTGAGGCAAAATATGGCCTTTCATGGCTAAAAACCCTCTTTTAGTTTTTACCGTAATCTTACAGTAATGAAGAAGGATGGGTGATTCATTTCATACTGCAAATCTAAATTGAAGCCAGCTCTACAAAACGGTACCTGAAGCAAGAGATTTGTTGGGAAGAAAGATATTAACGATCAAACAGTGTATACATACTTTACGGACACCCTGTATGTGCAAGAGGGCACCGGAAGAATAGTTCGCTGAATTGTCGTAGCCCGCACGTCAATGTCCGGGTATCCGCGCGCGGTTCCACTCGGAAACTGTTCAGAACAATCGCTGCTACTTTGCCAAATTTTTGCAGAACGCTCGCTCAGTGGTTGGTCTCCGCTGATTCCTTACCATCGCCCGCTCGCAGCCTTTTCAATGCGAAAACTCCGTTTTATTGTGAGAATTTGAATGTCTATTGGCAGCGCGACTGATTCGCGCTCGCTACGTTTTCGTAGATTGGCTGTTGATTGTGACTGCGAAAACAGCTCCTATTTTGGCGTAATGGCATTTGCACGCCAGCAACACACATTTGATGAAAAAATCTAATGCTGCTATCAAATAAAACCAGAAATCCCTATAGAAAAAGTAGACAACCAGACAAGACAATTTGCTCCGGTTTTTATTATTAGTACGTTTGAAGCATTTGCCAGAAATCTCAAGACACAGGAAATGCGGACCATAGTCGACTAACTTCAATGGGAAACCGTCTTCTGAGGCGCTGCTATACCGCTCGGTTGATAAGGCTCGAATTAGAAGAAAATGAATATTTTTTTAGCATTCCATCACCTTCGTAGTCGACTTGCAATTTGATCCGATGTTATCTTATAACCGTCGCTAAGACAAAGTCGTCGACGCTACACTTGTGAGCCGGTGACGATGCCATGTATAGTTGACTGGCGTATGCCTAATTGTAAGACACAGATTATGACGGTTAATATTGCCAGTAAGAGCACCAAAGGCAAAATTTTGAGATTTTTTCATATGAAATACAGAAGAAACCGATAGAAAATAAACATCTGAAAGTTCAATTTGAAGCTTCAGAGAAAGTACTTCAGAATTATTGTGGCAACCATTTTCTTGCCTAGCAAAAGCTGTAAAATGTGACAGTGTCTGGCTCTTATCAGCTGTTCTAGCTAAAGTGAATACCTTTTGGCAATCTTTCTGTGACAAGTTTAAGGGGAGGGATTCATGATTCCAGCGATAGTCGAACAGATGTGCCTTCAGTTCCCCGTAATCTCGCTGCTCACAAACACGGCATTCCGCGTCTCAAAATTTTCGTATGATACCTTTTATAGTTGTAACGAACAGAAATTTTTGCCGAATGAACGGATATCGAATAATCAATTTTTGAAGATTTTTCGAACGAATGAATATCGAATATTTGATTTTCGAAAATTCTTCGAATGAACGAATTTTATTCGACTTTCGATTTTCATTTTATTCGAATTTGAATATTCCAATATTGGCACATTTCAAAATTCGAATAAACGAATACATGAATAACCGAACTTGATCGCATATTCGAACTAATTTCGAATAAATGTTCGAATATTATTCGAATATTCGAATGCAGTATTCGAATATTCGAATATTCGAATAACTATCTTTCAAAACTACTCGAATGAACGAATATTCGAATAAGTCATTTTTCGAAATCGTCGAATGAACGAATTATTCGAATATAGGCCTTTCTCATTTATTCGACTATTCGAATAATCGAATAAATGGACTTTCTCGAATATTCGACTATTCGAATATTCGAATAATCGAATATTTCGAATAAATTATTCGGACACGAACATTCAATGCTAACTATAATACCTTTCGGTGACGGTAAATATTGACTAGACAGCTTTATCCGGCAGAAGATAACCGCTTGCTAGATAAACGACAGCCGCACATTGGGCTTTGCCTCCGCCCGTAAATTTGTGATGAGCGCTTGCGCAAACCCGCAACATCTCTGCCCGCCTGATAATATAATAAGCTAAATATATGATGTCCGCTCGCTGAAGGCTTGGCCGCGCCCCAAAATTTTGCTGACCGCTTGCAGAAAAGCGCGAGTTTGTGGACCGCCTGCCCTCCGCGATTATCTGGATTGGGGGACCAGGGAGGGGGGGGGGGGGAGGGGTGGGGCGGGAAAGATCGTAGGGACAGAGGGTGGAAGACGTTTAGCAAATAAAGAAGATCAATGGGTGTCTGCTGGATTTGTCTTAATGAACATCTAACAAATCAACATGATACTCGCGTGCGACTGGAAACCTCTGATTGGAAACAAGATCTGGCGAACGTAACACACACTCGGGGATTCCTTATGGATAAAAAGACAGAATCTGCCCGAGGACACAATCGCTGCAAACGGGCTACAAGTTTAAAGGCAGCGTCCAGGCAAATCCGGACTTATGGGAATTTTTACTTGGGAGATAATTTTGGGGCTTCAACTAAAGCACCGCCCAAGCGGCAGCGCAAATGACTCACTAACGGCTGAGATATACGCCTCCAAACTGCACCCCATCATCGTATTATTGGACGATTTGACGACGTGTTTACATGATTTCGCGCGAGGACCCACGCGAAACTGATTTGTCGCGCCATGAAACCAGGCCAAGTACGATCCTGGGGTCAGGTTTGGAGGCGAATATCTCAGACGTTAGAACATCATCTGAGCTGATGGTTAGGCAGTGTCTTAGTTAGGGTCCCAAACTTACTGTCCACGTGAGACTTCGTATGTCCAGATTTGCCTGGACGCTGCCTTTGAAGGAGACGCCACCGTAAAGGGTTGTATCCAGAGGTGCGATAGGGGGAGCCGGGTCCCCCAAAAGTGAAGGTGGTTTCAGCTACCACTGGCCGGCCAAAAGTGAAGGTGGTAGTGTCGGACACTCACCTCCCAAAAACGTCGACGGGGGGGGGGGGGGGAGGGGAGGTGCGGGGGGAGGATAGAACGGACGAACGGAGCTATCTTTCTAGGTCTAACGTCGACCCAACGGCCCTCTTTAGGGCCACAGATACGATGAATATTAAAAATATCTATAAATTTTATTTATAAAAATTTAAAATAGACGTGTTTAGTAAATGGTGTATTTGGAAGTAGAAGTTTGTTGGACTGTACGGATTTTATTAAGCAAATTTTGTTATAACGTACAGCGAAGAAAGTAGATCGATCCAGGCAGTAACGGCCGAGAATCAGAATTTCGAATAAATAAATAGTGAAAAATCATGCAAAATTTCCACTGTTATAAATCTGTTGTTTGAAGATGTCAGCAGTTGCGACTTCATAGGTTTTAAAGAGTAAATGTTGCTCTATCAGCTAGTGAAGGAATCTGGTCGATTTAAGAGATAGTCGTTGAAAACCAGAGTTCTAAAACTTTACGCCATTTTTGCGTGTTTTTTGACTGTTGAGAGTTAAACTCTTATAAATCTTGAATGTGGAAGTGTATGATGTTGCGACTTCATAGGTTTTATAGAGTAAGGTTTGCCTTATCAGAATATGTCTTGTCCGTTCCGATCCATTGAAACACCTCCGAGATCCAGAGTCATGAAAAAGCAGGTAAAAAAGAGCTTTTTGAACTTCAACAGCTCATAACTTCTTCAGGATTGCACGAATCATGTTGCGACTTCATAGGTTAGATTCTTCTCGTCAAGAGCTTTCAGATGATATATAATATGTGGGGGTTTCGCGCCTCTTACGGCATATGCCCGGGGGGGGGGAGACTTTTTAGGCCAAAGTCTCCCCCGGCAGCCTCCAGCCAATACATTAAAATGGGCGAGGGGGAGACTTTGGCCTAAAAAGTCTCCCCCCCCCCGGTCATAATTCGCAGGAGGCTCTAAACCCCCACATATTATATATCATCTGAAAGCCCTTGATGAGAGGAATCTAACCTATGAAGTCGCAACATGATTCGTGCAATCCTGAAGAAGTTATGAGCTGTTGAAGTTCAAAAAGCTCTTTTTTACCTGCTTTTTCATGACTCTGGATCTCGGAGGTGTTTCAATGGATCGGAACGGACAAGACATATTCTGATAAGGCAAACCTTACTCTATAAAACCTATGAAGTCGCAACATCATACACTTCCACATTCAAGATTTATAAGAGTTTAACTCTCAACAGTCAAAAAACACGCAAAAATGGCGTAAAGTTTTAGAACTCTGGTTTTCAACGACTATCTCTTAAATCGACCCGACTCCTTCACTAGCTGATAGAGCAACATCTACTCTTCAAAACCTATGAAGTCGCAACTGCTGACATCTTCAAACAACAGAT